TTTATTAAAGTCATCCTTGAAGGCCAACACTCTTCTTTATTTCCAGTAGCTTCTGGGGTTCCCCAAGGTTCCATCTTGGGCCCTGTTTTGTTTCTTATCTACATAAACGATCTTCCTGACAACCTTTCATCTAAAGTAGCTCTTTTTGCTGATGACTCAACTTTATACTCCTGTCTTGACAAAAAGTCTTCTCTTTTCGATCGCCTAGAACAAGCAGCTGATCTTGAATCTGATCTCACTTCAGTAATAGATTGGGGTTCACAGTGGCTTGTGAATTTCAACTCTAAAAAAACCCAATTGCTTACTGCAAACAACTACCGTAATATGGTCAACATTCCTATATTAATGAATGGCAATCCTCTTACTGAATCCTCCCCTTTACGTCTTCTCGGATTATCGCTCACTACTGACCTTTCATGGAAACCATATATACAATCAATTGCTAAATTAGCTTCTGCTAAGGTTGCTTCTCTTTATTGTGCTCGCCATTTCCTTACTTCTGATTCCATTCTCTACCTCTACAAATCTCTTATTCGTCCCTGTATGGAATACTGTTGTCATATTTGGGCTGGTTCTTCTAACGATTCACTTTCTCTTCTTGACAAGGTCCAAAAACGCATTGTAAATGTTGTTGGACCTGGACTATCTGCTAAGCTTGAACCTCTTTCCCATCGTCGTAAAGTTGCATCTCTTTCTCTTTTCTACAGATACTATCATGGTCATTGCTCAAAAGAGTTATCATCTCTAGTTCCATCAACTAAAATTCATTCTCGTTTTACTCGTCATTCAGCTAAGTCTCATTCGTTTACTGTATCTGTCCCTGCATGCTCTAAAAACTTTTATTCATCTAGTTTTTTTCCCCGCACTTCAATCCTTTGGAACTCTCTCCCATCTTCATGTTTTCCTGAATCATACAACCTTCAACTTTTCAAGTCTTCTGTCAACCGTTTCCTTGCTCTATAACTCTGTTCTTTTTTTTTTCCTAGTAACTCCCAACTTAATAGTGGTTGCTTGCAGCCTTGTTGGGAGTGAATGCAAATAAAAAAAAAAAAAAAAAATTTATTATCTATAGAGCAAATAAATTTTTTTCCTCTTCTAATATCCTAAAGCAAACGCAGTATACTTATTTCTGAATTTTTGTATGACTTTATGAAGAGTAGCACCCAAAATTATGTTTTATTTTAATGTCTATATTATGCCTAGTTGTTTTTTGATGATTGCATCACCATAGGCTTATGAAAAAAGAGCAGAAAAGTGCTAATTTGCTGCGTTTTCAGTAAAAATGTAATTTTTTAAACGTCCTGCGCCCTTACAAAACAAATTTTTTCAGAAAAAAAAAATATTCACGTCTTTTCTAGTATCTAATACATATGCGTGCAATCCCATTTCTAACACTAATGTGTTTGTATAGCATTAAGAAAAGTTGCACCAAATATTATGTTTTATATTTATGTCTATATTATATCTGATTGATAATTGCCTAACTTTTGACTAATATGAAAAAGGCCAAAAAATGCCAATATGAAAAAAAAGAAAGAAAAAAAAATTTATTCACATCTCTTCTAATATGCTAATACATAAAAATAATATTGCGCGCGCTCCCATATCCAAAATTTTAAAAGTACAACCCACCCTAATGTGTATATGCATAGGCATGTGTGAGCATATATATCTATATGTGTATATATGTGTGTATAATTAGTATATGTATGTATATGTGTGTATATGTGTGTATAGTTGTCTGTTTGTGTATATGTATATAGATGTGTGTATGTGTGTATGTTTGTGTATATGTATATATATATATATATATATATATATATATATATATATATATATATGTATGTGTATATATATTTATGTATGTATGTATATATATATACATATATATATATATATATATATATATATATATATATATATATATATATATATATATATATATATATATATATATATATATATATATATATATATATATGTGTCTATATAGATATAGAATGTGTATATATATATTTAAATATTCCATTGTTATTATTATCATTGTTAATATCATTATTATTATTATTATTATTATTATTATTATTATTATTATTATTATTAATGCCTCTAATTTTATTAATATCATTATTTTTATTAATACCATTACTTTTATTATTATAGTTATTGTTAATGTAATTATTATTGTTAATGTTATGGTTTTTAGATTTGCTGTTATTTATTATTAACATCATTATAATTAGGTGTTTACGCATCATTAATATTTATACTATTAGTAAACATCTGTGAATTCTAAGATCATGTCATTCAGAATATATTGATTGATTCATTGGTTGATTGATAAGCTTAAGTCTCTGTTGTATTTTCTCAAGGTTGCATCTCTTTCTTTTTTTACAAATATTGTGGCATCTTTTTACTTTACTAATTCTTTATTTTTGTTTCTTTTTATTTCTATTTTATTTCCAGTGTTCTGTGTCTGTGAATAAAATTTTGTTCTAGCATTTAATTATTTTCTGACTCGGTGTACACTTTAACTTTTAAATAATTTCATTATTCAGATACATCATCTTGTGCTTTTTTCTCAGAACAACAAATTTACACTACTTTATCCAATGTTCACATCATTTCAGAAAGTAATTTTTCTTGTACTTGGTCACATTTTATCTTAGACACATTTTTCTCTCCTTAATAAACAGCCAAGGCAATATGTTGTGTTACAAAAATTGCAGTTTTTATTTGATAATTTTATTTTTATCAAGAAGTCATTTAAGTATTTATCATCTTCTTGCAAAAGTTTGAAATAGTTGCATCCAAAGTTTCATTAATAAAAACACTTGGCAAACAAGTTTTTTCTAATATAAAAGAAAGGTCTGTTTTTTTTATTTTTTGTTATGTTCAATGATTCATAAATGTTTCAAGTTTCTAAAGAAAAATGTAATCATGCCATTTCTCAATCCAAGAGCAAAATTATGAAACACATGAAATTTTGATTTTTCTTTTTTTTTTTGAGAATTGACATTCTCATTAATCATGGATTTTTAAAAAATGATAAAATTAAAACATTTAAAAGTTTTAATCTTGCTGTTATATATCATTGTTATTAGGTTTATTTTAGGTGGTCATGGGATGTCTCAATCCTTTTTAAATTAGATGGGACATGTTGTATGTCTAAATATAAGTAATTATGATCAGGGAGTTCAAATTTGGGCATATTCGGTCTTGAGAAGTGGTCATGACTGCTCAAATGGTCATTTTAGGGGTGGTCAAGGGTGGTCCTAGGATATCCCAATGTTCTTTCAATTAGATGGAACAGATGTATGTCTAGGTATAGGTATTTGTGGTTGGGGAATTTAAATGTGTGTTATGATCAAACAGGTAGGTGTGGTTATGGGTTTTCAATTTTCTTTATTTTTATGAACTTTATGTACTTAATTTCTTTGATGTTGTTAATATAAATCTTTTAATAAAATTGAACTTTGATAACATAATTAACATAATTATATATATATATATATATATATATATATATATATATATATATATATATATATATATATATATATATATATATATATATATATATATATATATATATATATATATATATATATATATATATATAATCTAGATGATGATAAACATCATACATTAGTACATCAAGAGCTTCTTGGCCTTCTCAGGTTGATTGAAGTCTTTGACTTTTCCCTGACTCTTCATTCTAAAAACCATAGTACTGAAGCTACAAAGTATTTTTATCATAAGATCATAATTTGTTTGGGGCCTGGAGAATTTTAAGTCATAGAATGTTCCATAACTTTCCACAACAACATTAAAAGTGCTATTTAAAATAAGTTTTAACAGGATTTAAATTATTAAAAATCTAAAATTGTTCTTTATGTGACTTATTCAGTTTTTTAAAGCAAAATGTATAGTTGGATATCATTTATAATAAAAGCCTAGCAGCTACTGCGCTCAGCTGAGCTCAGAAAATTTGGTTTTATATATATATGAGAGTGTAATTTAAATTTGATTACATGTGCGGCCAAGTGTTTTTCTGCTTGTGTAAAAGTAAGTGTTAAAAAAAAGGTTGAACAAGGGGTTTTATTGAAAAACAGCATGAAAAAAGAATTTTCATATATCTTTTTCTTATTTCAATATATGATGTCGATGGACTATGTCGTTAACAAATAAAAATGTTGTAAAATTATCTTACTGGCTTCATATTTCTTTTTTTATATGATTTTTTCATTTTCACCAATATTTGAAAGATAAAATATTCCTTCTTTTGTGGTAAAATTAATATACTGAGCTTAAAAATCATAATAGGGAAAAAATTATATCAGTTTTAGAGTGCTGGGGTCTCTAGATTACTTTTATAAAAAGAAATTACTTCAATATAAAAATTGGTTTTGAGAGATTTGGCTCACCTCTGGTCCACTATGTACTGGTATGATCTGAGATAACATTCTCATTGCTTTTGAGGCTAAAGTACTTAGTATAAGTTGAAAGATTAATGTTTATGATTCCTTTAAATCCTTTTCAAGTATTCTTTACAATACTGAGGTTGTTACTAAAAAGGATGTGTAGTACCATTTTTTAGTATGTTTCCTAAAAAACTAAAAAAATTTAATTTGATTTGTATATATTAGTACTCTTTGTTTTGATTGGTGACTGAAAGTTATTTTCAAATTTTTAAGGCCGATTTTCACTTAATTTTTTTTTTTTTATTTTAAGATATAATTTTTTTGTTGATAACAAGTAAAAATTAATATACGGGAGGTCTTAGCTTAGGGTGGGTGGGAAAAATATCCAAAAATAAATAAAGGGGGGGGGGACGTTTATTAGGAACTCGAGAGTATAATAACTGTTTTTATTGGATTCCATTTTACTCTATTCATTATATAAAGTTAAATAATTTTTTATAAGAATTAAATTGTAAAAAAAATTGCATTGAAAGCACGCTTGATGTTTTCATTTACTTGCATTAATATTATTTTTAGAAAGTTTTAATCCAAACGATAAAAACGAAGTTGAAGATAATATTGAAATTAAAATTTGTAAAGGAATGGAAAGAATACAAAAACTTGATAAATTATTGTCAGAAAAAGTTGCTTATGAAAAAGAAGTAAAGCGCGACCGAAAGTGTTTTGAAAAAGAGATGCAACATAAAATTAAACTCCTAGAAGAAAAAAAAAATTCTGTTTCAAACGAGTTCATTAAAACTTGTCATGAAAGTAATTCAGTTGGATCGCAATTCAGCAATACTAATGAAACGCCGATTTTTTCAACACAAATCGGAGAAAAGCATTATGAATTATCAGATCAAGTTTTTCATAAAACAGTTGAACAGATTAAGAATGATGAATTTAATACAGAACCAAATAAATTTTGTAAAAATTTTGTTAAAAGAAATATGCAATTAGCGAGTCGAGCAAAATACGATATTGCGTTAACTGAAGAGGAGGAAAAGCGCTTGTTTGAGATTCTTAATGATGAACATGATATTTTATTAGATGAAAATCCATTCTCAATATTAACACAATCTTGTATTAGCCATGAAGAACATAGTGAAAATGACAGGAAAAAAATCGAGAACATAGACGAGAAATTAAAAGATTTTTTATCCAATGAAGAATATGTTTTATTAAATGAGGAGCTACCTTTCTTCCATTTTCTTCCAAATGATGTTGGTGGATGTGGTGAACAAGTTCTTCAAGAAAAACATGATGAGAGAACTTTAAAAAACAAAATCAAAGAAATCGATGATAAGCTTTTAGATTTGAAAAATGATGACAAACCTTTAATAGACCCTGATCTTTTAAGGAGATTGTTGGATAATAATTTACGATTGACTTCTGCATGCACAACTATTTGTGAAAGTGTTTGTTCTGCTGACAATTTTGAACTTGAAAAGTTATGAACAATGTTACAAACTCAAAATAACTAAAATAAAGTTTGGGATCTATTAGTTATTTATTTATCAGTATAAAATCTTTAAGGATAAATAAATTTATGTTGTTTTTTAGGTAAGCATATATTAAGATAATTGTATATGTATATATACATACATACACACGCACACACACACACACACACACACACACACACACACACACACACACACACACACACATATATATATCGAATATAGCATTAACTAAGTGTTGAAATTGGATTTAAACGACCTTTGAACTAGTTGTAAATATATTTGTAAAGATATTTTTTAATTTCTATAAAAATTCATCTAATAAGTTTCTGAAGTAGATTTGTTGGACCTGTTTTCAATTTAGTAACATTTAAATAGTAGAGCGTAGTAGTTTTTTTATTTATTTTGTTGTGATAATACAGTTACGTAAAAATTATTGCTTAATTAAAGCCTAAAAGAAAACATTTACAACTTTTTGCGTTTAAGTTGGCCATTTTTCACTTTAGTTTGGCATTTTTTTATTTAATTTGACACTTTTCACCTTAATTTGGAATTTTCTATATTAATTTGTCATTTTCATTTTAGTTTGGCCAATTTTCGTTTTAATTTGGAACACAAAACTTACACCTCAAAAAACAAGTTCGTGCAAAATTAAAATGAAAATTGCCAAATTAAAATAAAATTTGTCTAATAAAATGAAAAAATGCCAAATTAAAGTTAAAAATGCCTAATTAAAGTGAATATTGCACAATTAAAATTAAAAATGCCAAATTGAAGTTAAAATTGGCCAACCTAAAAGCAAAGAGGTGTAGTTGCTACATTTTATTTTATAGACGTTTTTTAATTTTTTTACTAAGTTTTAGTTTCATGTATCGGTTATTAAAATTTAGGTTCGAATGTGTACTGTATCGTTTTGGTAATGTCACATTGTTTGCTTGTCTATGCCAATCCGACAAGAAGTAGTGTTATTAAACTGTTCTATTGTTTCTGAGCAATGTTTGTCGGAATTTTAATCTAAAAATGAGTTGCACAAATTGTAGACGCAAATGGTATTGCTACGATAGACTCCAAGTTATTCAAACCTCTACAGGGAATGAGGTTTTACTTTGAATAACTGAAAATTCACTTTAAAGTTTCCTATTTTAAATTATTTTCAATTTTTCACATAACCTAATATCATATATTAACATATTTTTCAGAACTTAATATAAGTACATAAGTTTGGAATAAGATGTTGCGCAAGTCCTTAATATATATATATATATATATATATATATATATATATATATATATATATATATATATATATATATATATATATATATATATATATATATATATATATATTGATTTTGGTTTGATTTTGGTGCGACTGTTTTTAAAAAAAGACAATCTCTAGTAGTTTTTTCGGCTTTTTGAAAGGCACATTGCTTGAGTTGTCGTCTGTCTTCTTTTTTTCCTCATCACAACTGTTGACTAAAATTGAATTCAGAGTTTCTTGATTTGTTAAGATAAATTTCCAACTGTCCTTTTATCAACTATTATAGCTGGGTTTTTTTTTAATTTTATGCATTAATGAATATGACGCATTTTTCGTACATTCATTCTATTCATAGTCGTCTATGTTTTGTTATGTTTGAAATAAATTACAATATTATCTTCATTTTTGCCTTAACATTGTGCATTTCAACTATACGTTTCTTTTCTCTTAAAAATGGTGTTTGAGTTGCTGAGCGAATCTTTTACAAAGAGCTGGTTGAATCACATGCAGAGGCGATTTTACGGGAGGTGGGGGTGTTACCTGAGCTGTAGTTTCGCTGTTTGAAACTCTGTTCGTGATTTGATTAAATATTTTATTTTACTTTTTATTGCTTATAATATCTAAAAAAAATTAATAATAAAAAATAGATTTAAAAACAAACAATTTTAAATTTGACCAAATTTATATTCTTCTGCCGTCAATGCAGAACATTTGATTCTACTCATAATTTTTGTATTATACATACAATTTTTCCAAAAATTTCTTTATAATCAACAAAATTAAATAGTAACTTGTTTCATTCTATATCAACATTTTTTTTGAAAAAAAAAAGTAAAAATTTGAAAAGTACCATTTACAAAAGTGAAACCTTTTGTTTATTTTCGCCGTTTAATAACTTTACCAATTTAAAAGTTTATAAATAAAAACACTGGCGGGGCAAGTAAAAGACATTATTTTGTTTTATCACCGAGCCCCAATCGAACGTTTTTACAACGTATAAATATTTATACTTAACAAATTATTTATTGAAAATTATAAATGTAAAAATAAATAACAATTAATTTAAGAAATACTTCAAGAACAATACTCATATTAAGAGGAATAATCAAGTAAAAAAGAAAAATCGAAAAAAAAGTTCAAAGAAAAACAAAAAAAATAAAAATAAATTAAAAAGGACGTATTTACAAGAGTCACACTTTATACGTATATTATACAAAGTATTTATTGAAAAATATGAAAATAAAATATTTAAATGAAGAACGAAAAATTAAAAATAAAAATATATGTATTTTAAAACTAATTTGTATAAAAGTAAAATAAATAACAATTCATTGATAGTTAAAAAAAAATATATATATATTCAAGAACTCAGATAAGATTTCAGTAATAACTTTTGAAATTAGAGGAAACACCATAACTGAATTAATGAAAAAAAAACAAGTTGATAAATTCTGAGACATATTTTATATAATTGAATTTTAGTTTAAAAGAAGCATTTAAAATCGGATATGTTAAAATCCAAGTAATAAAACCGATTCATTTTTAAACTGTTTTATACTAACTTTTTTCGTATTTGCAACAATAAAAAACTTTTTCCACAAAAAAGGTCCACGATTGATTCAGTATTTATCAGACTTCGTGGACCTTATTTTTCCACAAATAAGGTCCACGAAATTGATTCATTATTTATCAGAAATGACGTTCTAGCGTCGGCTAAACAACTGGCATCGGGTACTTTTAAAGATATATTTATACGCCCCGACCGCACAGCAGCAGAGCAAAGCGAATTTATTAAATTAAACTTAGAAAGAAAAGCAGCTAATTCTGACCTTGACAAGCTTGGAAAACTTGACAAACCCTTTAGATTTGTCATCCGCAGCGATAAATTGCGATGCATTGATTTCTCGTAGGAAGTTGAAATCAATGGACGTAAAAAGCATCCTTTCATCAAATGGAAAGATGCACAAGCAGCCAGAATTGCTAAAACACAATGAATCAAATCGTTTAACTGCGAATACTTATTTAAATGCATTAAATACAAAAATAAAATCTGCTAAATCTAACCCTAAAAATAAACTTTTAAAATGTTTTTACACTAACGCAACTTCTCTTAATCCGACTAAAATGAACGAGTTATCTGCACTCTGTGATATAAACATGCCTGATTTAATCTTTATTTCTGAGACATGGTTTACTGAAACATCTGCCACTCAATTAAATAACTATTCACTAGTGAAAAAAAATAGAATAGGTCACGATGGAGGTGTTGCTATCTACATTAAGCGTGATCTAGTCGTGCATGAGGTATCTGATTGTCATCTAAGAGAGACTTTAAACAACAGCAACTCCGAGCAAATATGGTGCGAAATTAAAATCGTTAACGAAATGATTCTTATTGGCTGTGTCTATAGACCACCTTTATCCCATATAGATGATATAAATAAAACAATTATTTCAGCTAAGCAAGCTGTTAATAGAAAAGCGTATAGTTGTATGTTATTAGCAGGTGTTTTCAACTTTATTAAATGGCATAATGACGAAAGAATCGAATTACTAAGCGGTCAAAATAGTGCTGCAAGTATTTTTCTTGTAACTTTGGCTAATCATAATCGAACAATTAGTTGATTTCTCAACCTTCGAAGCATCTAATGGAAATCCAAAAAATGTTTTGGATTTAACTATTACAGACTCTTCAACTAGAGTAATCAATTTATCTAGCTCTATGCCGTTAGGTGATTTGTCACAAGGTCATCGCATATTGAGTTGAGATTATGTCATCCTTTCTAAAAATAGGACAACTTTCTCAAACAAAAAATATGATTTTAATAAGGGTGACTATAAAAACTTCGGTAAAAAGATTATGGAAACTAACTGGCAGCAATTATTTGATAATAAAAACACTAACGAATGCTATGAACTTTTCTGCAATAAATATGATAAACTCAGCAAGCAATTCATCCCGTTAAAAAAAGTCCATTCTACTCGTAATGCACCGTGGATGAATAAGGAAGTATTAGCTATGATAAAGAAAAAACAACAACTGGGCAATTACTTATCTATGACAAACTGGCGATTAACGACCCTCATTTGTGAATATAAGAAACAAAGAAGCCAAGTTCAGAAAGCATGTACACATCGTGTGCGAGTATTTGAAGCCCAACTGGCATCAGATAAAAATAATCCAAAAAAAATGTATGCTTATGCTAAAGCGCAACAGAACGTATATGTATCTATTGGTGCTATATCAGATGCAAAAGGTGAAACGTTAACAGAGGCAATACATATCGCAAACAGACTTAACGAACGCTTGAAATCAATTTTTTGTTGATGATAGCATAAATGATCAGTTACCGGTTTTTGAGAGAAGACATAATCAAGAAGACTTGTAATAATAAGTTTTGAAGCAACGCTAGCCTATTTGAATGGTTTGAACCCGAACAAATCTATTGGTGTTGATAACATAAGTCCAAAGGTACTTAAAGAATGCGCAGCTCAAATGACTTACCCTCTAACATTAAATTACAATAAAGCACTGTCTGAAGGCTCAACACCTTCAGCCTGGAAGCAGTCACGTGTTACACCGTTGTTTAAAAAAGGGAGTCGTCTTGATGCCGCTAATTACAGACCAGTGTCTATCACTTCAGTTCCATGTAAAGTAATGGAAAAGATTATCAAGGAACAGATAACTAAATATCTTGAAAAAACGAGCTGCATCTCAAATAATCAACATGGATTTATGTCCAAAAAGGGATGCACGTCTAACTTATTGGAAAGTATCGACTACATTACAAAAGCGTTAAGCAAAAGAAATTTTGTAGATATTGCATTTTTGGACTTTGCAAAAGCGTTTGATAAAGTTTCTCATCGTAGACTAATACATAAATTGAAAGCATATGGGATCAATGGTAATGTTGGCAAATGGATTGAGTCATTTTTGACTAGCAGAAAACAACGAACAGTTTTAGGTAATCACTCTAGCGAATTTGATGTTCCGGTATGGTGTCCTTACTTAAAGGGAGACATCAAAGAAATTGAAAAAATTCAGCACTAAGCAACAAAAATTT